TCATTCACATTCTCTCTCTACACGATTCCCTCTGTTTTCTCTTTCTCTTGTATCTGATTTCCATTTCTGATTTGTTGATTCCATTGTAGTTATCAATACCAAAAATCGTACTAAATTAGTTCGGTACGGTTTGATAATTCTTAGTTTGTTTTTGTATGGTTCGATATTTAAAGAAAAAATAGTTTCTTCACCAGCTTGATGTCCCTCACTTGTAACTATGGTGTTTTGGCTTCACATATATGTTCCAATCACATTATCCACTGCTAGAAGTTAAATGGTCAAAGTGCTTAATCTAGTTCAATTTAGCACCAGGTTATTCTATTAACTACACAAAAGTTTTCTACACCAAAGACATGATCCTAAATTAATCAAACAGTGTAACCGGTCCTTATTTTTTTTATAGGCGAGAACAATTTTTTTTTTACAACTAACTCTTTAGGGAAGAATCAGTTTCCCCTTTTCTTTCTTCAACCATAGAAACAGCTGCATGTTTCAAGCAGCAGAAGCAAAGCGCAAGCAAAATAAAAAAAATTAATCATTGTAAAAAAGAAGAAAAAATCAACAATAAAATCAAAAAATATTAAAAGTTTCAGAAAATAATACTTAAGAAGAGCTGAAGATTACCGGAACTACATATACAAAGAAGGCAAAATATAGCAACTGACAAAAATATTTCGTTATTTCCGTATTTTGATTTACCAAAGTATTGAAAGTTCAATACCAAGAACCATATCGAAATACCGAACTTTTCAAAAAATTATACTGAATTAGCAACCGCAGAACCGATATCGAAATACCGAATTAATTCGATCCGATCCGTCTTTTCGATTTTTCAAATTTTATGACCACCCCTAATTATGAAAACTTTATTTGGATTGGGACAACTGAAGTCACAATAGTAGTGTGGTCCATGAAAAATATGGGTTTGTCGCCAAAAATGGTGGAGGACATATGGTAGTAGCAATGGTGGTAGTGATGAAGAAGATGGATGGAGATGGTGGTGGTTATCGCGGTGGTAAAATGAAGAAGACAAACTAAAACGATGAAGGACGGCGGTAAATTGTGGCGATCCCGATGAATCCAAGAAGACGACTGTTGTTTAGGGGTGGGGAGAGGTGGGCGAGAGGCAAGAAAAATGTTTGTTATTCTTTTAAAGTTATTTTCCACGTGTGATTTAATAATTTGCTGCTTTTGGTATGTGAGAACCACGCCCGTGTTTAATTAAAATATTTTTCACTTGGTTTAAGTGTTCATGTAAGGCTGGCAAGTGTGCCGGTTCAGGCCCGGAATCGCGGACCAAACGAATCAAACGGCTAAATGGGTCAAGATCGTTTGGTTCGATTTTAGCGGGCCTGATCCGGTCTTGTGGGCCGGTCCTATGATTTGGGCCCATCAGGTTCGGGATCGTTTGACCCGCCAGGGCCCAGGACCGGCCCGGTCCCTTAGCGGGCCAAACGGTCCCAACAGCTATGTGTCTAAGTAAAAAATGGGACAAGTTTAGGGGCTCTATGTATTTGGCCAAAGTTAAAAGATCTTGTACCATCTCGTCCAAACATAAGTAAAAGGGGACGCATCACCACTTTTTAAAACACGTCATAACTTATAAGTACTTATTCGCATTCAATTTATACTAAATATATTAATTTATCACTCTTATAAGATAAATGGCATTAAGAACATGTAGTAATAAATTATGGTTAAGCGATAAATTTTTGTCTAACAACCACATACAATGTTTTCATAAATTTGATAAGCACCAAAAGTGAGTGAATTTTTCTTTTGTAATGTTGTGTTATATGCTTATAGCCTCCTCCATCCCTCAAGCTTCTACCATATCTGTTTGACCCAGAAATATAAATCTCGGTTCAAATAATTAATTCTAATTAAACATAGGTTAATCTTAGTTAACAATAATTTCTTCAAATCTTGATATTAAAGAGATAGTTGAAAAGCATTTATGAAGACTATAATGATTCCTTGCAATAGATGCCTTACAACTACCAAGAACAATAACAATATATAAGATATTCAATAAGTGTCAATCTGGTGGCAGTCACGTAATTAAAAGGAATAATTTAAGCAGCAAAAAGTAGAACAAAGGAAACTTTCACCTCACAATGATTGGATGACAGATCTTCAAACAGTCGAGGATTCATCGGATCTGGCAAGAATCTTAATGAAAAGTAAAGTCTTGTATTGAGTGAAGAATGAATCTTTTTCAAAGTGTTGTTCTTACAAGAAATGAATTTCACGTGCCTTTCCTCTCTCTCTTCCTGCATATTTACTTTGGGACTACGGACGTATTCCGAGAGATCCCCATGTACTGTATATTCATTTGAAACTACGGGACAGTATCCTGAGAGATTTTCCACTGTGTTTACCTTGTTCGGAGCCGAGGGCTCCCTTTAACTGTGTTATCGTAAATTTTACTTATATCTTTTACTGTTTAATTTACTATATTTACTCTGGTAGGGCTTTAACCTGACCTCATCACTATTCGATCGAGGTTAGGCTTGGCACTTATTGGGTACTATTGTGGTGTACTCATGCCCTTTCCTACACAAGTTTTTCGTGTGCAGATCCAGGTACGAGCTATCAGCCTTGGGATTAGCGCGTGTTGCTGATTCTAGGAGACTTCAAGGTACTTCTGCTTGCGTCCGCAGATCTTCGGAGTCCCCTTCTACTCCCTCGCCTAGAGACTTTCTTTATTATCTTCAGACGTTTGTATAGAGCTACATAGATTATAGTAGTTTGTGACTTAGCTATATTCCGGGTCTTGGAAAATTATTTTGTATATGTCGAGTGGTACTACTCTTGGCTATTTAAAATATGTTGTTTATCTTTAGAGTGTTGTGTTTCTTTATATATTCCGCAATATTAGGCTTACCTAGTCGTAAAGACTAGGTGCCATCACGACACCTTACGGAGGGTTAATTTGGGTCGTGACACCATCCCTTCCGATACGTTCGGCAGAGTCATCCTTACTCGGTTGAACCGGGCGAGGAAGTGCCTCAATCCCTCTCCCGGAAACTGTTTAATAGAAAATATATCATCCACTCTCGCCTCAACCTTCTTGTCCCCATCATGGGCCGTTACGAACTTGTCGGCCATCTCTTCGAAAGTTTCAATGGAACGGGCAGGTAGTTGTGAATACCATATTAACGCTCCTCCTATGAGGGTTTCACCGAATTTTTTCAACAAAATGGAAGATACTTGCTCTTTGGCGAGGTCATTGCCTTTCACGACGGTAACGTAGTGAGTCACATGATCTTCAGGGTCGGCCGTGCCATCATATATCCTGAGGTAGGGTGGTATTTTAAAGGTTTTTGGTATGGCATGTGGGGCGGCATCATCACTATACGACTGCTCGACGAACCGGCTGGCGTCTCTCTTCGGCAAGAGATTTGGGGCGCCCGGTATTTTGTTGACCCCTTCTCGGTGTTCTTTCATTTGATCCCGGAGTGCTTTGTTCTCATTATCCATGTCCTCCATCCTTTTCAGAATGGTTGCGAGAGTGTCGTCACCTGCATTATTAATGACATTGTGAGTAATACATGTCGTTGGAGGAGGAGGGAGTTGGTTGTGCTGCTCGTCTGCTAGTTGTACAACGCAAAGTCCTTGCATTTTCTGTAGCCGTGTCCCGAGCGGGCTTACGGAGGACGCTGGTTAGCGTGTCAGTTAGCCATGCCTCAAGGAGCCTTTTTACAGCTGGGGGTGTCTCCTCTGCCACGGATGTGGAGGCTCCCTTACCAAGAGATTTTGTAATGCTACAGTGAGGAGGAGGTGACCCATTTCGTCTAGGGGAGGCATTGAGCGTTGCGTCTTCGTCTGTTGTTTCACAACTTTCATTGATGACGTTCATGAGGTTGGTTGGGAGGTCGCTTATTTTCTCGTCCTTTCTTCTCTGTTACCTGACATATTGGGATTTGTGTACACAAAGAAAGGAGATCTTGTTCTTGCTTCTTCTTTTTTACGTTAATGATCCGTGTTATTTGTAGATCTAGAAGAAACTAAAGATTTAACTAGGAAATCCCCACAGACTCCACCATATCTGTTTGACCCAAAAACGTAAATCTCGGTTCAAATAATTAATTCTAATTAAATATAGGTTAATCTTAGTTAATAATAATTTCTTCAAATCTTGATATCAAAGAGGTAGTTGAAAAGCATTTATGAAGAATATAATAATTCCTTGAAATACACGCCTTACAACTACCAAGAACAATATCAATATGCAAGATATTCAATAAGTGTCAATTTGGTGACAGTCACGTAATTAAGGGAAATAATTTAAGCAACAAAAAGTTGAACAAAGAAAACTTCCTCCTAATAATGATTGGATGACAAATCCTCAAACAGTCGAGGATTCTTCGGATCTGGCAAGAATCTTAATGAAAAGTAAAGTCTTGTATAGAGTGAAGAATAAATCTTTTTCAAAGTGTTGTTCTTACAGGAAATGAATTTCACGTGCCTTTCCTCTCTATCTCTCTCTTCCTTCTATGTATAGGGGATCCGAAAACCCCCTAATAGTACAAATGTAAAGAATATTTACTAGAATATTCTCTTGCTGATTCCATTTTTAATACTTGCCGTTACAGCTCTATCGTCAGTATTCAACCATGACCCTTCTCGACTCTTCGACCATGATCCTCATCGGTATTTTGACTACGGCTTTCTTAGACTTCTCGACCTCGGCTAATGTGACTTCATGACCGTCTTTAAATGGTGATTTGCGGATCCTTCTCGTAGTGTTATTTTGACTTGAATATCCTAAAGGCAGATTTAACCCATACAATATCCAAGGCTGAATTCATGGGATGACTTTTCAATTATCATCTCAATTTCATTTTTGTATTCTAGTTAGTTAGATAATTCTCATACTTTCTCCTTTTAAAAAAAAAAAATCTTTATTTATTTCCTTTTCGGTAACAACAGTTTTGTATGCATAGATAATTAATAACCTGCTACTGAGAAGTTATAAAAAAGAAAGGAGATATGCATATATCCAATGCATTTATGAAGATTTCATTTATTAAAGAATTAAATAAAGAAATACATTTTCAGAAACAGAAACAGAAAAATACATGGCCAAAGCATAAACAATTTTAGTAACAGCAGTGGTGAATTTCTGGCCTATGTTTGAATATTTTACTCATTTTTATACACCTAATCCGCCACCTGGAATCCATAACTCTCTCATTACAACTAAAACAGTCACCATCTGAGCCTTGCTGGAAAATACTGCATTGCAAAGAATTGAAGGAAAAGGAAAATCCATCAGCCAATGAAAGATTTATTGAAATACATATATTATTTAAAAATTGATTTAAGTTAAAGTAGCCAATTAAAGCATTCACCTTTTCAATGAGGGAGATGTAGTATGGCTTGACCTTTTCTACATCAATTCTAACTTTGCTCTTGCTGTACAAATCGTATTTGCTGCACATATATATATAATTTTGTAAATCATCTTATAAAACTGTAATTTATACTATTCTAGAGCTATTAAAAGTGGAGAAGAACATAAATTAATTACTTGAAAATCTTAAGCCACTTCATGTTCTCTCTGTCTTCCTCATTCATCAAGTGTGTGTATACTCCTGCCCTATGTAACGCTGCAATTTTTAAAAAAATTTAATTAATTAATCCCACTTCAATAAACATTGAATTACTCAAACATTAAAAAAATAAAAAAAAATTAATATTTACCATAGAAAGAGTGGTAACGAATGACAAACAAAGCAGCAGAAGGAAGAGTAGTTCCATTTTCCTTTGCGACCAAATACATATAATCATCATGTCCCCATGACATAACAACGTTGTCAAGTCCACATCCTTCTTTGTATACACCATTCTTGGTGTTGTTAAGAGGGTTGTTTGTGTCTGGATTTTCCTTAAAGTACTGCATAGAAAAATGCACACGTTAATTAACGGGCAAAATACAAAATTGTTATTTTCTGTTGAAACTAATTGCATTTGTTGGCCAAAAGAAATATATAATACGTATATGCATATAATATACATATATACAAATCAAATACATTCTATTGTCTATTATTTTTTATAACAGTTAAAATTATAAATTTTCTTAATTAATTAATCATGTATTTTATTTTACATTTGTCAAAGGAAGACATTTTAGTAGAAGAAAATTAAAGAAAGTTTTACTTGTGGTGAACAATTGATTCATCAAAAGCACAACCTAATGGGAACGTATCACCAACAACAGCCCATTGAGGTAGCCCTCCAAAGCTAGGAAGAAGAAGTATTTTTCCAAGATCTATAGTCCATATTATATAGCATTATAAGAAACATAACAAAACAAAACAAAATAAACAAAGTAATATATGCGTATGGCATAAGTAACTCGTAAAGAGGATCAAAAGGATATAAATGGGGTATATACTAATATGCTTAATAAAATTATACTATAAAACAATAACAAAAGTAGGTCTTAATTGTCTTGAAAATGAATGACAACAATAGTATACTCCCTCTGTCCTAATTTATCTGATATACTTATCTTTCTAATTTATCCTTAAGATTCAAATAAGAAAAGAGTTTCAGGTCGTTTAGAGAGTATTAGCCCCGAACCCCTAATTATTGCTCCCTCTATTTCATTTTGTTATTACGTAACTTGCCGGGAGAATTTGTTTTTGGTTTCAGAGTGAAATGGGACACATAGTCCTTAAAAATGGAAGTTTGAGTCGTAGGAATTGACCGTAGGTTAAATTGTGAGAAGATGACTCTGGAATGGATTTCGACGGTTTCAATAGCTCCGTAGGGTAATTTTGGTCTTAGGAACGTATTCGGATATTGAATTGGAGGTCCGTAGGTCATTTTAGTGTCAATTGGCGAAAGTTGGAAAATTGGATGATTTTTGGGAAGTTTGACCGGGAGTGGACTTTTTGATATCGGGATCGAATTCCTATTTCGAAAGTTGGAGTAGATCCATAATATCAATTATGACTTGTGTGCAACATTTGAGGTCAATCGGACTTGATTTGATTGGTTTCGGCATCAGATGTAGAATGTTAAAGTTTTAAAGTTCATTAGGCTCGAATTGATGCACAATTCGTATTTTTAGCGTTGTTTGATGTGATTTAAAGGGTCGACTAAGTTTATATGATGTTTTAGGACTGGTTGGTATATTTGGTCGAGGTCTCGGGGGCCTCGGGTAAGTTTCAGATGGTTAACAGAACAAATTTGCACTTAGAACAAGTTGAAACTTGCTGCCTACTGATGCAATCGCACCTGCGGAACTTATCTCACAGGTGCGAGCTCGCAGAAGCGAGCCTGGATTGCGCAGAAGCAGATTTGGGGCTAGGTCGCAGGTGCGTGAAGGTCTCCGCATCTGCGAGCCCGCAGGTGCGAGCCATGCTCCGCAGATGCGGAGTGAAGGGGGGCAACTGGATTCTGCAGAAGCGGCTTGGGCGACCGCAAAAGCAAGGCCGCAGAAGCGGACCTCTTATCTGCAGAAGCGATAGAAGGCGCAGACGCGGGGAGGACCTCGCATCTGCGAGACCGCAGATGCGGTTAATTTTTCGGAGAAGCAGAAGTACTGGTAGAGCACTTAAATACAAGGGTTCACGGTTTTGCTTCATTTTAAACATTTTGAGCTCGGGTCTTGGCGATATTTGAGAGCATTTTTGAGGGATTTCTTGAGATAAGTCTCTTGTACTCATTTTTTATCAATAATCTTGTTTCCCCATTGATTTTCTCACCTAGTTTGTATGCATTTAAGGTAGAACTTGGGAGTTTGAGGCTAGGGATTTAGAGAGTTTAATTTGGGGATTTGAGTGGTGACTTGGTGTCGGATTTTGGTAAAACTGGTATAGTTGGACTCGTTGTCGAATGGGTATTCGTATTTTATGACTTTTACCCGATTCTGAGACGTAGGCCCGGGTCGACGTTTTGGGGCGATTTTTTGATTCTTTGCTAAAGTCGTAGTTCCATAATTTAAATTAGTTTCTTGTAGTTGTATTTATAGTGTGTAATTGCTATTGGCTAGATTTGGGTCGTTCGGAGTCGGAAAATTAAGGGAAAAACTTTCTTACCGATTGATTGAGCGAGATTTGAGGTAAGTGACTTGTTTAACCTTGTGTGGGGGAAACTCCCCTTAGGATTTGGTACTGTTGTAACAATTTGTGATATGTGAGCGCCGTGTACGCGAGGTGACGAGTACGTACACAGGCTAGATGTGGAAATTCTGGTTTTTGCTGAGTAGTCTTCTTTTAAATTCCTTAACCGAGTTGCCTTAGCATGTGTAGTTGTCGTGTTTAGCCTAGTATCGCATGTCTACGTGTTTTAACTTCTACTTGAAATTTGTGCCGCATGATTAGTTGAATTACTTGCCTCCGTGACCTTGTATTCAGTCTTTAATCGTAAGATTCCTTGCTATACATTCGTTGTTCCATATGTTTCGAGTTGTGTATTTACTTTTGGGACTATGAGGTGGTACCTCGGGAGGTCCCTCTGTTGCATATTTACTTTTGGGACTACGAGCCGGTACCTAGGGAGATCCCCCAATTACATATTTACTTTGGGGACTACGAGGCGGTACCTCGGAGATCCCCCTGTTACATATTTACTTTTGGAACTACGAGGCGGTACCTCTGGAGATCCCCCTGTTGTGCGTTACATTTGGGACTACAAGGTGATACTTTGGGAGAACCCCTGTTGTTTACCTCTATTTGATGTGTTGTTACCTTTCTGAAAATTCTCGTTGTTCATTTCTCAATCGTTTCATTGTATAATTATATTTTCTCTCTCATTTCCTTTTTTCCAGTAGGGCCCTGACATGACATCGCCACTACTCTACCGAGGTTAGGCTTGGCACTTACTCGATACCGTTGTAGTGTACTCATACTACGCTTCTGCACATCATTTTGTGCAGATCCAGGTTCTTCCTACCAGACCAGATACCAGTGAGTTGGATCGTACATGGAGACTTCAACGTATATCTACCAGCGTCCGCAGACCTCGGAGTCCCCCTCTATCCTTATTATATTATTTTTCTCATTCTCTTTAGACTCTGAAAGGGGTGTTCGTCGATTGGTACGGTACGATATTTAGACATTTCGGTTCGGTATTTTCAGTATTCGATTTCGTAAAATGCTATACCAATACTGTACCTAATTAAATTCGGTATGGTTCGGTTTTTCTCCTTTAGGTTTCGGTTTATTTGATTCGGTAACTTCGGTTTATTCGATTTGAATACTAACTAGTGCATAGATTCATAGACGGTAATATTCTTAATTAAAGTACTCAAAAGTACAAAACTAAAAATGTTTGTTAGCAAAAGTTTTGTCCAAAACGAGAAAATACTAACCTAGAGAGAGAAAACTTAGAGAAATATCTTGTTACTTGCTTAGAGTTAATTGATGAACTTAGAGAATAAAGGAAAGTAAAATTTTAGATTTCTTACATTTATGTTATAATTAATAAAATATGTATTGTGCAATATAATATATATTTCGGTACGGTATCGGTATGTCGGTATTTTATTTTAAAATACCAAATACCATACCTAATACCAATTATTTTTTTAAAACCTAAACCAAATACCATACGGAATACTAAAATTTTCGGCTTCGGTAAGGTAATTCGGTATTTACCAAATTATGTACATCCCTAGACTCTAATGTATTGAGGCACTTAGTATTTTCTCTTAGAAGCTTGTGACTTATTTCTACCGGGTTTTGGAAATTGTAATTAATTGAATCGCAGTTTTCTATTTATATTTCATGTGTTGAGATTTGAGTTCAGTTTTATATTCAGTTATTCCGCAAATTATTAGGATTACCTAGTCTTAGAGATTAGGTGTCATCACGACATCCTACGGAGGGAAATCAGGGTCGTGACAAGTTGGTATCATAGCACTAAGTTCATAGGTGTTATGAGTCACAAACAGGTTTAGTAGAGTCTCGCGGATCGGTACGGAGACGTATGTACTTATCTTCGGGAGGCTATGGGACTCTTAGGAAAAGCTTCACTTCTTTGATTCCTTATTGTGCGAGATTTTGACTTCGGATTCTAAATTTCTGTCTTTCTATTCTCTCATGATGGTGAGGACACGTACAGCTAGATCAGATTACCAGACACCCGCGCCGCCTCCTAGAGCTGCAAGAGGTCGAGGACGTCCACGTGGTGCAGCCAGAGCACCCGTACGAGATGCTACAGAGGAGCTACTAGTAGCTCCAGTTAGAGGGCAGGCACCTGAGCGCCTGTTACTGCACCAACCCTCCAGGAGACTCTAGCCCAGTTTCAAAACATGTTCAGCACCTTGGCTTAGGCCGGATTGATACCACTTGCTCCTGCCACATCTCAGGTCGGGGAAGAAGCACAGACTCCCGCCGCCCGTACCCTAGAGCAACGGGTTCGGGTCAATCAGGTTCCAGATATCATACTGATGCAGCCGGTAGCTCCAGTTCAGCCCCCGAGGTAAAGCAGCAGTTTCTGAGGTGAAGCAACTCAGGCTCGAGAGGTACAAGAAATACAACCCTCCTACTTTCAGTGGCTTGGCGTCAGAGGATGCCCAAGATTTTCTTGTGGAGTGCTACCGTATCCTCCATACTATAGGTGTTGCGGAGACTAGTGGGGGTTCTTTCACTATGTTCTAGCTTAGAGGAGCAGCTTATCAACGGTGGCGAGCTTATGAGTTGGGTAGTCCGGCCGAGGCAGCTTCACTCACTTGGACTCCGATTTCAGATATGTTCTTGAGGGAGTATGTCCCTCAGAGTCTTAGAGATACATGGCGCGTAGAGTTTGAGCAGTTGCACCAGGGTTCTCTGACTGTGTCAGAGTATGTGGTCTGATTCAGTGATTTGGCTAGGCATGCACCAGCCTTGGTTGCTACTGTTCGGGAGCGAGTTTGTCAAATTATTGAGGGGCTCAACCCCAGTATCAGATTCAGTATGGCCCGAGAGTTGGAGATAGATATTGCGTACCAGCATGTAATGGGTATTGCTAGGAGGTTGGAGGGTATGCTTACTCGGGAGAGAGAGGGGAGAGAGGCCAAGAGGTCTCGAGAGTCTGGCACATATAGTGGTACTCGTGCCCCAGTTGTAGCTCGTCAGGGTAGGGGTTATATGGGTCGCCCTGTTCATTCAACACTTCTAACCGCCGGGGGTGCTTCGGCCACTCCTAGGCCCCAGGATCCCTATTATGCACCGCTAGTGTCTAGTGTACCTCATGTACGGGGTGCTTTCAGCGGTCAGTCCAGCTGATCAGGCCCGAGTCAGTCGCAGCAGCCACATCCTCCAAGAGCTTGTTTCGAGT